TCGGTCAAGATCCGAAGGTGTGTGCGACCAAATGGCCACCGCAGGAAATGGGCAACTGGAGCGTTTTTCGGGGATGACGAGGAAGAACTTCACAGAGTGGCACTCTACTTGGTTAAAAAGTCGACCGTCCTATTTCAAAGAATGACTCATCAATTATACTAGTGATATGGGTGCTATATTTCTATGTAGATATATACTATAGAAAGCCATATACTATACTAATGATATCCCTATATTCTAAGATATTCCTATAGCACTATGGCTTTCTATGGCTCCCCCAGCCATTGTGGCTCGGCAGAGCAGCATGGAGCTCACAGACCAGGCGCGGCTCGGGTCGCGGTGTTTTTTTCGATTCATGGCTCCGGTAAAGCGACATAGCCATGGAATTATGAACAAGTCCATGTTCAATAGGTAAATAATCTACAAATGGTGAATCTTCTTGGATTTTCGAAGTATGTATGTATATTTGTATATATATATACATATGGAATATATATATATATATGGAATATATATATATGATATACGGAATATATTCGTTTATTCTTGTTGATTGGAGGGTAAATGATGGCTAAATGGGGGATGCTTGTTGTAGCTGTAAATGATGGATGTTGATGGTGGATTTAGCCAGCTAAACTGAGCGCCCAGGTAAAAATGCCATGGATTGGCGTGGTTTAAAACCAAAGTTGGGGATGAAGATCCGGCACCAGCCATAGCTACTTTGATGTGAAACTTCCACGGTACCTGGATTTTGATGTAGAGTGATTGCATGAGAAAAGATGACCAATCTATATTCAAAGATACACATGTTGTATGATTGCAGATCTTACTATTTATGTGAGGATCACTGTCTCATAGTTCCAGAGTCAATCCGATGTACCCTAAAGTGCATGTTTCTTGCCACTACATGATGGTGCCCCCCAGTTATATATGTTTGTTGGTTTAGTCTTATTCCATTCACTAGCTCGATATACAGAATTCCATGAAATCCTATTAAATCATAGATTTTACTGAGAAAATAATCAAAGTTAATGAAAACTGGTGCACCAGCGAATGTAGCTTCACTCGGTGAGTGAAGCACAGAAGACCCACGCCTTGCTTCGGAGGTGTGGGGGTTAGATCTGATTGGAACATGGCAGCCACAGGAAGTCGCTCGGTGCTGGAAAATCTGTGTCATGGGCACCATCCCCGACTGGATATAAAATTGGGTATAGCCCTAGTCCTGGTGAATGGGATAAAATCACTATAAAATCACTATAACATGGGGTTTACATGGCTTTACCACATGACCCATGTTGTTTTGGCATCAAATAAACTGGGACTTTTGGGATTTTTCACCCACCACTTCCAGTAACTCCACGGAGATTTCGTCCCATGGGACGACCATGGGACCCGAAGGGGATCTCCTGGGGATGTCCTGGAGAATCGGGATGTCATTCATGATGTAATCAGTTCATGGGGACGAAGGGGATATGATATGATTGTATGTTAAACATGATGAAACACATAGAAATATTATGAAACAGCTATTGTATGATTGTATGAAACATTATGAAAAACATGATGAAACATATTGTATGATGATCTGGTGCTTTCTATTTGGGGAGCAAATGGGGATTTAACGATGTAATTCACATGGGAGTTCATGGAGACATGACGGGTCTGTGACAAATGATGATCTGAATTGGTGGCTTCGGTTCGAAGAAATGATTCTATATAAATAGGCGATTCAACTGGGATAAAAAAAAATAGGATGCGTATATCTATAGCAAATGATGCTCCTGGTTGGTGCTTTTAATGTTCAAGCCTATCAAAGGGAAACATACATATTCTTCAGAGGGGTGACTCAACCACTAAAACTGTGCCCAAGAGTAGATCAGTTGGTCCCACAAAAGTTTCAATGTTGGACAATGGCGAGGCACCTGCTGGCACCTTGGGAAAGATGCCTCAACTGATGTGATGAACCACTGGTGAGCCGATACTGGAAGCCATTCTTGAACGATTTGGGTTTTGGATTCTAAGTTGTGTTCATTGCTGAGCGAAAATCTTGAAAAAAACTTTGGTGAATGCAGCTAAAATGAAAAGAAATTAAAGATATCTCAATCCAATGGCTTTGGAAATGTTATGAAATGTTCACGTGGACCCGGATATATAACAGTTTCATCCCATTACATAAATCCAATTAAGTCCCACTAATTCCATCTAATTCCCGTTAATCTGCATTTGTTGATGCTTAAATCTTATTAAATCCCAATGTTAAATCAATAGATATATATATATATATATATTGACAATTATATACAATTATATAAAATTATATATATATACAATCATATACAATTATATACAATTATATTCAATTATATACACTTATATATATATACAATCATATACAATCATATACACTTATATATATACAATCATATACAATTATTTACAATTATATATATATATGTACAATTATATACAATTATATATATATACAATCATATACAATTATATACAATTATATATATATGCAATTATATACAATTATATACAAATATTTACAATTATATACAAGTATATGTATATATATATACAATTATATACAATTATTTACAATTATGTATACAATCATTTACAATTATATACAATTATATACAATTATATATATGTACAATTATATACAATTATATATATATAAACTCCATGAGAATAGCCATGGTCATTCCCTGATATTCACATGGTCGTCCCGTGGTGGATCGACCCGATCGACATCGACCCCTGGAATCATCCCAGGAGACCTAAATGGAGGGATTCATTTCATATGATACAATCAATGTGGATCATTTACAGTATTATCTATTATATATATATATATTACAATATATTTGCTCATTGGGATTTATGATGATCTACATTGATTAATATTAATTATATACATATATAATTTATATATTTGTTGGATTCCCATGGCAGATGACAAAACCATGACGTACCATCGCTTCGTTCTTCGCCGCGGCACGACGTCACGAGGCGACGGCTGTGCTGAAGAAACTCTCCCGATCTGGAGAGTGGACGAGTGCGCTTGAGGCACCATGATGAGAATTCCATAGGAATTCCATGGGAATTCAATGGGGATATGATGGGGATATGATGGGTAATTAACTATATATGTGTATATGTATATGTGTATAATTTTGTATATGTGTATAACTTTATATGTATATATGCATATATAAGAATATAACACATGATCTTCAATGCGAGTTTAATGTGGAGGTATAACTGAGCATCTAAAATTTGGAGAGTTTCATGCAGATTTCATCATGTGGAATGGGGATCTGATGGGCATATATAACAAATGATGCTCCTGATTGGTGGTTTCAAACATGTTAGTTACTTTTAATGTTCAAGCCGATCAATAGGGGGGATGATCCTACATAAGTGGCGAGCATATTTTTCGGGTGGAGGCTTAACCATGCGTAACCACCAGCTAGTAAATGATCGCTGAAGAAGTGATAACCAACAGTTGGGCGCAGTATTGAGATAATCTTTGGAGCACCACAGTTTTCGTGTTTAAGTTCAAGTGATGTAGTTGGACATGGTTTGTTTTGGAATATGAATCGGGTTGTTTGAAAATTGGACCCCCCATCCCATCCCAAAATAACAACATGTTGCCGACTATAGACTGATCTTTTTAAGATCCCACAGTTCGAGACACATTATTTCAATACCCAGCTAAAGATTGTATGTATATTAGACACATATATATATATATTGTATGATATATAATAATAGAAATTTGCACGGAATGTAGGATTGCCATGCCGACGGCGCAATACAGATTCAATTCGAGCAGCATGTGAATGTGAGATGAGGACCACCTCAGACTGGGTGTTACAAGGTGGCTGGAAGTGGAATGCAAACTTTTTTCAAAGGATACGCATTTCATGAATTTGGAAATGCGTTAGATATTATAAGATGTTAGTCGAAGTCAAACAGTTGGGCCGCAGGAGCTACCAGTGAGGCCAAACTCAAACGTTTCGGTTGGATTTTTTAGATTGGTACTCCCGGTCGAGTGGCACATGGAGGGCTAACGTCTAAGCGCTGGCGTGTTGTTTGGTAATGGCATGGGTTTGACTGAAAATAGGCTACCTCCAAAAAGACATTGGTTTATAACATCATCAGTTTGTCTATTGATCTACGATCATAAGTCTATATAATTGGTTTCTATGTCCAATATATTATATATATATATATCATATATCATATATCATATATCATATATATATAATATAATTAATATATATATATTATACATCATATTTATATACATTATTTACATATTTATATTTATATTTATATCATTTTTTGTATCTATTATATATATATGAAATTTATATACATCATATATATATATATATCCAATCATTTATTCCCAGAGATTGCCATAGTTATTCGGATGTTCCAATAAGCCATGGGGTCTTTTCGCCAGGTCCTGAGGCTCATGATGCATGGCTTAACGATTGTCGTGCGCCTGGAATCCAAAAAGGCTGCTGTCGATTCAGCAGATAATATGGGTTACCCTCTGGTAAATTAACAGTTTGACCCTGAAAATCACCATTTTTTAGTGGAAACTAATCTTCCAACCCCGATGACTGCCAGGGTCTATGTTTATTTACTGGAGGGTATATATGGTTTATATATGTTTATATATGGGGGTACCCCAAAATTGATGGTTTATATATGTTTAATATCATGAATCTTTATATGTTTAAAATTTATTGATGGTTTATATATAATCTGTTCATGAATCATCCATAATTATCATGAATATTCTTGGTTTAACTAGTTATCCACAGATTTTTTAAAGCATATTTTGGGTGGCATGGCGAGACACTTGACAATTCACCCCAGCCATGACGCACTGTGGTTGTGAATGGATGGATTACCCCTCTGGTATTTCATGGTAGTTCAAGGTATTAAATCAAACAACATGGGGCATGGAAACCATCTAGCTATGTCGGATTACCAGAAGATAATCCAAACTGTGGGAACCTGTATAAACCAACAAACTGGATGAATTACATAAGGCCTCATGTCGCGGCATCACAAGAATGATAGGTAGGATCGGGCAGCCGTAAGAATCTGGCCTTAGTTGCAGATTAATAAATAATACATATATATATATAGATAGTGTTTATATTATTATATATTACAATTTTGTACAATTGTTTTTCTGACTTCCAGACCCTAAAAATTGTCTGGTTTCATCTGTTTGATCATGACGCCATAGTGTTTGAGTTCTGGAGACTCGGTGGTTGTGAAAAATCTATTGGGTGTAGCCAGTTGATTCCGTTGAAACACGCCCAAATCGCTGTGTGCAAGCCGAGTAAACACAAATGGATCTGGAGCACGAGCGTCATTCTCGTCATGTGGGTTAGAATGGATTTGAGCCCTCGTGAGTCAAAAAAAATTGACCTACTGTCATGTTTTTCGTCAAAACACGGACAGCATGTGAGCGCAGGGGAAGTCCAATTCGAAAATCATCGGATTCGTCGGATTCGGAGCGGTTTTGTTTCCAGGATAGCCTCAACATTTTCTGCAAAAAGAACACCAAGGCGCCAGGAAAGAGCAGAAGTGAACACCATCCACATCAACACTGCGATCTCGGCTTGTCGTAGGGAAAAAAGCTGGGAAGTGCCTTTGACCTTTTTGCATCAGACACTTGGATCTCCGGAAGCGAAACGGTTGCCCAACAGATCTTGGTGTTTTTGTTGGGTTTTGTTTCACTCATCCAAATTGATGATGTATTTAGATGATGTATCCATAAAAGTGAAATTCAACCCCGCGTTTTTCGGCAGTTAGATACCCAAAACTCCAAAACACTCCGCAGAAGGGGTTAGGATGGGTTAGGATGGCTTAGGTTAAACCAATCATAGATAATCATAGATATTCCAACAGTCCAATTCCTTTTTCCAACTTACACTACTCTTACATTACGACTATAAATGTCCGAATTTTACATCCTGATCAAAAGGGGATGTGATGAATCCTCCATTTGTGTCGTTTAATCGTAAGTTGTTATTGTGAAATAATGATTAATCCAACTGACCCAAGGACCCAAATGAGGATATGCCATCATATTCCAAATATTCCAATCGGAAATCCAATATGTTAGGCGCGTGCAATCATTATTTCGCAGTTTGTTCTTCCATTTATCTGTGTAAAGAATTCAGCATGATTCATCAGTTTGCCCGAATGACCACACCAATTAGAAATCAACATCTAGAAATCCAATTTGGGGATGTGAACATAATCCAATCAGCATCTGGTTATGGCTAACAGTTTGCCATGGAAAGATCCACCATTTTTAATAGGTAAACCATCTATTTCTATGGGCCATCTATACCATGGCTATGTGAAATAACCAGAGGGTAGTACTTCTTCCCAAATAAGACCAGGTTTCCAATAGACATCCATTTTTGTTGGATGTGAAGAACAAAAACAAACAACTTACCCCACTTCTTCCGAAAACCACCCCCACCTCTTCCCTACTTCCATTTCCTCCCAACTGGTCTCAAGTAGATATTCCAACTAAAAATCCAACCCAAAGCAAGACAAAATAATTGAATAGTAGATATGTCCTTTAATCATCCAATGAAACCATCATTAAATCCATTAAAACATAAGAAACCTCCGTTTTCCCTCACCTTTCACCAGCATATCTCCTGGTTTCAGGATCAAGAACTGGTCGTTTCTTCCCAGCCCCGTCACCTTCAACGGCCTGATGAGTTGCCACTGGCGTCCTTCGCTGCAGCTACTGGAATTGATGGGCCACCAGGAACTGTCGCCCACTGCGCCGCGGCGAAAAACGAGAGAATGGTGCGTAGGGGCGAGGGGCGCCCCAAGCTACAGTTATAACATGTTATAACTTATAACCCAACTACAGTTATAATCCAAACTATAGTTTGAACATGTTTGAACACAAATGAATATTACAATTCTAATTAGGTACTGGACTTATAACCCAACTTAGCGACCTAGGGGAGCCCACATTGTAGATATCAATAGTTTAGTGATCAGTAAATGAAATGGAGTGAACATTGCAGAATTGTAGATAAATTCCAAGAGACATAGGTAGATATGGTCCCTATCAAAAATGTCATGAATTGTGTAATACTCCCTGTTCAGAGATCTGCCAATATCTAAATTGCTTATGTACATACAATTATATACGATATATTATATGATATATCTTATCCCATGTGTTTCAAAGTATTCTACATGTGGCTGCCAGTGTGTACCTTTTTTGTTGGCTAAATTCCATCCATTTGTTGCTGAAATCATAACTAATGACCATTTGTCCCAAGGAAATAATGATCGAGTGTAGAGCGTAGGTTGATTATAGATAGGTTGATGATAGTAACCAATGATTATTGCAAACAACACTAATTAAATATATATATAATAATATTAATGTGTGTATCATTATTATCATGATTATTGTTATTATTATGTAATTATGTTTCATTTTTTTTTAAGTTATTCATTATTATTATGATTGTATATAGAGATCTAGTATGGACTTTGCCTGAAAAGTGTCTCCATGATGGACATATGATGTTTGACGAACCGAAATGATATGTTAATATACTCGAATGCCCTCTTACAATGGCTAAACCATGGTAACATGGCCATACTTGGCGGTTCACACCCCAGTACTGGACCAAACCTGCCCTCAGCTGGGGTGAAATAAGCCACTAGATTGGTGAACTAAGCTACCTGCCGTAGCCTTCAAGGTGGTGTCGTACAACACGGCCATGGCACTCTGTGTCGACGGAGCCTGGCAGATGGCGCTGGAACTCTTCGAATGCGGCGCCATTTTTCATGGCGCTGATCAGATCGGATATAGCACGGCCATCAAGGCATGTGAAGCTGGAAATCTCTGGCAAGGACTGAGACCGGACGATGCTGTGGGATAACAATCATTGGGTATTTGCTGGGGGTAGACACCATGAAAAATGGTTCCTTACCATACGTACTGTGTATGTATATGTTTGATTATGTATGTATATATACGTATATATATATATATATATGTACACTCATATATTATACTATGTCTAAATGGTAAGGTATTTATATATATATATTGCATTTATAGACATTTTTGGCGGTCATAAGTTATCCCATTTTAGAAAAAACAGGAGTCATCAACTTGCTGGAGCTCATGAGTCAGCAGCATTTGACCCCAGATGTTATCACCTTGAGTGCAGCAATCAGTGCTTTGGGATCTCAATCCGAGTGGCACCTGGCACTTCATGTGCTCCAAGACATGTCCGGGCACCATGTGATGCCTAACACCGTTTCCTTTGGAGCGGCCATGAGTGCGTGCGAGAAACTTGCTGGGAAGGGTGAAAAAAGGGTGTCCCCAAGCTCATATAGTAGATGTAGATGTAGAATTGATATAATGATATGATACAATGTACAGTACATATTATGTTAATTATGTATTGGTATGATTTCTTACGTGTCATATATGTGATTCCTAAAAGTTTTGTCAATTGGTGATGTACCTTAAATTCACCATCCGGATCTTCGGGATATCATAGCTCGAGCAAAAACACGGAGAAGTGGATGGTTGGCTCAAAAAAACCCTCTGGTTATTTAACATAGCCATGGAACATGGCCCATAGAAATAGATGATGTAGCTATTTTCTAAATGATGATTTTCCATGGCTATGTTAAATAACCGAAAGGTAATCCGAAATTTGATTACCTTCCGACAATGAAACATGGCAACTGACAATCTCTATCGATAGCTATCTTGGTTTACTGGAGGGTATCAACAGCAGCAGGGTTTGAAACGCTTTCCACATCCAGACACTGTGAGCTTCCAAGCTATCGGCTTTCGATCGTATAATCTGCGAAATCCAATGGGTTCTAAGCCCAAGCGTTCCAATCCCAAGCCTTCCTGCAGGTATATTTGGAGAAAGAAAGATTCATTTTCCATCATTTTTCAGCTATTGTTGGGTGTACATTGAATTCGACTTGCTTGTGGCCGACATACACAATGTCATTCATACATACCCTCTGGTTATTCAACATAGCCATGGAAAATGGCCCATTTATAGATGATGTTTTCCCATTAAAACCTCCATTTATAAGGGGTTTTCCATGGCTATGTTAAATAACCAGATGGTATGTCTTTCCGGTTGGCCCATTCTTTTCTGCTTGTGGGATGTTGCGGGGCCGTACCAATCAGCCATTCACCAACTGTTGGTGCTTGCTCGATGAGGAATGGTCGACAATGGCGACATGCTCTCGCTTTGCTGTTGAAGATGTTCGAGCAGAATCTTAGATTACTCTTTTAAAAAACTAACCTGCAATTTACAAAAGAGGTGTTTTCTAGTTCAACGCTGCATCAACCATAGTTTTGTATGTTTGACATCTATTTGGATTATCCCGGAATTATTCCACATTTCAATGGCGACCAAGACACCCAAGCCAAAGATCGGGCTTCGAGCTAACTTTAGTCACAAGGTTTCTTCAAAGGGAATACAATATAAGTTTCAACCGGTTGATTGAATATCTCCATGTATTTCCATATGGGGGTTTCCATAAATGGGGGTACCCCAATAGCTGGATGGTTTTTAATGGAAAGTCCCATTAAAGTGGATGATTTGAGGGTACCTCTATTTTAGGAAACCCCCATATGTTTGTGTTCCCCCCATTCGGAATGATGATAAGAGCATTTTTCAGAAGTTCCTGAGACCGACCTGACAGCCTTTCCATGGCAATCTCTTCCAGCGGACCCACTATGAATAAATTCCATAGGATATATAGAATGTGGGCCCTCCCCAGGTATGTTTGTTGGTTTATAATATGATAATTGATATATTAACTATGGTTGTAAGTTGCAAGTATCATAAACCATGGTTACTGGAGTTATGTTCACCAACTTAGCTATCCAGGGGGTCCGACTTTGTATGTCTAAACCAGGGTTTTAGATTGAGTGGAAAGGAAAGCTGGTAACGATACCAAATGCCAAACCGACCCTTTTCAATTGATAAAAAAACATCTTTGCATTTTCCACTTCTAAAGATGTGATGTAGGTAGCTCTTTATTATAGCGTTTGCTCGTATATAGAATGAAACTCGACAACATAAAATGGAATTCCGAGTTTTTTCAGGGGGAAGTCATCTACAAAAGTAGTGTTTTCCAAGGCGCTTTAACCTTGATATACCATGAATTCGTTGTTTCCCGGAGGTTTCAACTCCGCTGCCCCTAGGAAAGTGTTGCCCAATGAGCTTTGCTACGGTGCCTGGCTGATATGGTTACTCCTAATGGGGGGTCGATGGGATACATATTGAACCCAGAAGATTGGCTATAGATGGTTGAGGAATACCTCCATAGCCATAAGATATCATATATGGTATGGTCCTGTATGGTATATTGATGGATGATTGGCTATATGTTATGTTTTGATACCCATTATGCGTCAGGAACTTGAGGAATACCTACACAAGGAAATTCACCAGTGGCGCATGGGCGCCTGGTACTGGGATAGCTATGTTCCCACCTGAGTCGTTTGAGTCGTTGTCGGGGTCGTTTGAGTTCTCGAGTTGTGATAGTTTCCCGATGCTTTACCCTCTGGTTATGTCAAAATAGCTATTGAAAATGGCAGTTTAGTTCGTGGCTTTTCCCATTAATAGCATGGTGGATCTTTCCAGTTCGTTATGTAAACGTTTACCAGGCCGGGTAGTTCTAAATCAACAACCTTGAGTCTGGGTTTGATCATGTTTGATCTCAGCCACGCAATGGCCAAAAAAGTGGTCCCAGACTGCCATCTTTACTTCCATGCACCAATGTGGGTCTGAAAATAGGGTACCCCTAATTCCACAGTTCGATCATATCTTTTCCAAAGTCTGTTACCCTCTGGTAAATTAACAGTTTGCTATTGAACATTAACATTGCGAACTTGAACATGGCCATAGAAATAGTGGATTTTCCCATGAAAATAGCATGGTGGATCTTTCCAGTTCGTTATGTAAACGTTTACCAGAGGGTATACTCCATCTTCCAACCGTATTGTTGGTTGCTATCAATCTCAATATCGCATTGTGATGATCTCCTCACAGATCCTCACATATCCTCTGTCAGCAGATGCCTTTCCGCTGGACGTGTCGAGCGACGTGTTTATTTCTGTCCATGGATTGTTTTGGCTAATATACCAATGTGGTTGGTGGTGTGGAACATTTTTTATGACTTTCCATATATTGGGAAGAATCATCCCAACTGACGAACTCATATTGTTCAGAGGGGTAGGTATACCACCAACCAGCAATGTTCGTTACTTTGATTTCCATTTGTTGTTCTATCCCGCGTTCATTCATGTCATTCTCTAATCCCACGAGTTTTTCTGCTTAACCAATCCGTTTATCATTCTCAGTCTTGCATTGTCCCAGCAAAAATTCGGCAACAACGTTGTCATTTTATTTCAGCACAGGCTCTGTGATCAGCGCGTGCGAAAAATCCAACTGCTGGCAAAGAGCTTTGGATTTGATGCTGTCTATGCCACTGATGCGATTGCACATAGACGCCCCCAGCTGCTAAGTGGCACTGCGGGTCACGGCAAAGGTCACTTCTTGGGGATGAAATACCATCCCAAACATCCTGAAATCAGCGCTTGGATCAAAGATACTATAGGTATATAAACATGCTATATATATATATATATAGATATATATATAATAATTTCTCTGTGAATCCCCTACTCGAGCAGTTCTTACCTAATCCGACGGGGCTGGTTTTTTTCGTCCATTCATTTCGATGATTTTCCCATGGAAAACCTTCATGAAAATTGGATTTTCCAGCTAGCCACGTTTGAATATCGGAGAGTAATTGTTTTTTTGTTTCCAAAGTGGGGAGTCTTGCATTACTGTCTTTGTTATGTTTGTTGAGAGATCGTGAAACATCTGTTTAGACTAGTATAACCAACATCTTTCTGGTGTTTCTCCCCTGAATCTGGGTGAATGTATGTTGGTTATATCAATGTTTTTTGTCAGCATTTCTTGCTGCCAGCGCCTGTGTTGGTTGATGATATCACATGACATCACCATTTAATTTGGGATGTGTATATACATGGATACTTGTTGAACTGATAAATGGTAAGATAAAACAAAATTCGACTAGGCTAGATCAGATAGATGGATAGGTAATCATAGGTACAATGTGAGGCCCCCAAGATATAAGTTTGTTTATAAGCCCCAGGAACTATAGTTATAAATACCATAAACCATAGTTATTGGAGTTATAAACCAACTTAGCTATCCAATGGGGGCCTCACATTGTAGGTATGTAGGTGGCTGGATAGCGAATCACATAGAGAGCCATGGTCAGTTCGCTCGAGTCGGCCAGGTTATAATCCCGTGGTGGCCGCCGCTGCAGGCTGTTCTCAATGGCAAGTGGCCATGCAATTGTTCAGCGAAATGCCAGAGGCATCTCCACAATTTTGGTCAATGATGCGTAACGATGATGTGAGGCCCCCCAGTTGTGATGTGAACGTTGGTTAAGTATATAAGCCCCAGTAACTATAGTTATTTGCGTACCATAAACCATAGTTATTGGAGTTATAAACCAACTTAGCTATCTTGGGGGCCTCACATTGTATGGATGGTCATGGCGAATGAAATATGATAACTTTATTTTTATGGATGGCTCGCTCGAATAAATTGATTAACAGATGGTTATGGCGAAATGGCAGTCTTATTGATATATTGACAGTATGGGTGTGTCTGAAAATGGCGTAAAACTCTCTAAATTTGGCAGAGTTTCAATAGGGACAATTATGATAATGCATGGGCGTTTAGGGCATCGTGTTTTCAGAGAAGACCATATGATTAGATTATGGTCGATATGGACATTGTAATTCACATGCTTGATATATGGTTGATGCATGATGATTATTGATTGTTGATATATGGTTACAAGATGTTACAAGCCAAGTTCGTCTTTAGGAGACTAACTATAATCCATTAGATCATTATATACGTCATTTGTAGTTGGCTAATATTTAGTTACAACCCACTTAAGTGGGATATACACCCACGTATTCATGTGTGAGTAATCACTTACCAACCGCAAGGCACGTCGGATATTACCAGCTGTATATGGGCTGATCAAGTCTTGGATTGCGAGTTTGCGAGGGAGTCTCCCATTTTCAGACAAAAGTCACCATGCATGGTTTGAATTAAGGTATAGACATGTATCAATCATGAGTTATTCTAAAGTAATAAGTAATATGAATTACATTACTATACTAAGGTACTACATTGCTATGTCTTAGAAATTTTGGTAATCCGATTACTTTCTGGTAGTCAAACATGGCAATTGAAGATCCCCCTTCATCGAAAGTTCTCCCATTCAAACATCCACAGGTCCATCCCATTGGGTGCCCATCAGGGTGATATGTCAATTTTTGCTAATTAGTGATTTGTGTCGATCATGTGAAAATATCTACATATCCAAATCATCTAAACTCAGTCCTTGTTGGAAGATATATGAAATACATTGAAATACTATGAAATACTGCTGTTTTAGATGTCCGTTCCTTCATTCCCAGAACTGGTTTAAGGAACATTTAGCAGGATTCCCCAATACTTAGGGTTAAAAACCACGGTTTCCCTACACCCTGGTAAACTAACATAGCTCTGGAAAATCACATTGTTTATGGGTAAATGAACTATAAATGCCCATGTTCAGTGTCTATGTTAAATTACCAGAGGCTAAATCCAACAATGGATTAACTCATCCTTAGTTGATGGCACTTCCTGCAGGCATCCTTGACACCAGATTGTTTCAGCTACACTGCACTCACAACGGCCTGTGCGCGTAGCAGTCAGTGGCAGTCGGCACTGGCACTTTGGACACAAATCTTTGAGATGCTTGGAGAAAATGTTGCAAGATGCTAGCAGGGAAATTATCAAAGGATAGTTGCAGGTGTAAGATGTACTGCATGTATTTATATTGTATATATATATACTGCATACACATGTACATGCGCAGTCAATTATGTCTTTGCGTGGCCCTTTGCGTGGCCATGTGGCTGCAAATATAAAGGTTTCCTGAACCATGGGCGTACCCCAAGCTCGCTGGATGGTTTATTTCATGGAAAATCTGAAATCCTATTAAAATGGATGATTTAGGGGTACCCCTATGACTTCGGAAACCTCCATATGATGAAATGACATGAAACGACAAAGTGTTGCCGAAACTGCTGGGCATGTCACCGCGTTTTTTTCTGCGGTTCCACTGTGCGCCATGTCCATTTTCTAGTGGCGACCAGCAAAAACAACCCCGAAATAGAAAAGTTTGAAACCTGGAATTGACTGTAGATGTGGAAAACCATCATTGAAGCAACATCCTGGAAAGAAATTTCGGCATCTTTTTCGGGACACCCCAAAAAATTGAGTTCGTCAATGGTATAGTGGAGAATGAGTTCTGAATCCATTGGTTGCCATTGAAAAATTGCCGGTGGCAGCATCCCCATTTTGGAGACACAAATATCACACGGCCTGGTTCTATATCCCATCATATCCCCATATCACCATAGAACGGATGGCTTTATATCCAGTTCTAGACACATCCAAATAGAATTTAAAATAGATAGACAAGTTGGAAACCTGGAATTTTTCGGCGACATAGGTCAAACCAACATAGAAAGTAGCAACAACATAGAAGATACATCTTTGGTTTTCCAGGACATACCAACATATATCACCTACCATCCTGGAAACACCGCCCCTAGGACCTCGGTGGAAGTGAGTGAAGTCACCTGGAATGCCATCATCAACGCCTGTGAGAAGGGTGGTCACTTTGGCGCTGTACATTGGAACTGGGTTCCCCTAATTTTTCAGACCAAGCCAATATTGTAATTATAGTTGTTGTGTAGACATATAATATATTACTATATATTACTATATATTACTATATATTACTATATATTACTATATATTACTATATATTACTATATTACTATGAATATTGTTCCAATATATGGCTATGTATATATTATGCATATGTATACATACATAGATATATATATATATATATATATCATGACTATTAATCATTATTTTTATCTATTCATTATCCTGATTTTATGGGAGAAAATAAACAGGTTTAGTTCGCTGGGAGAATCATCGAACTATATAAACTGTTTGGATTTTTCCAGCAAACTGTGTTTGATTACCAGAGGATGTATACTATATATATACACACATATAAACCAACATAGTAATCCAGTAATTATATTATATAGTATTAGTATATAGTATCAGTATTATATATATATTTATAATATATTAGTATATAGAATATTCTCATTAGTATTAGTATACTAGCAATCTATTTTATATTATATCAGTCGTTTGGCTCTGTCGCAAAATACTTACCCCAAAATGCGTGGCTGCTTGACTCAGTGGAGAACATTGCATAGCAACAGTGCTGGGAACAGCTTGGAGAAAGGTTGAGACAGGCAGCTTTGTAGTCTGCACATATATTGCATGCATAAGTATGACTGTATTTGTATCTTTGCGAATACAGTATATAATATGTGTTTGTGTATGTACATGTTTATAAGATGTAGATATGTGACATGTGTATGTTTGTGTTTGTAAGGTATATGCGTGTGATACGATGAGAAAATGTCGGATTGATTTGATCAAAGAAATGGTGTGATTACAGTCCACAGTGACAAATCTTGACAAAGAATATCACGTTCCTTTTTTATGATTTTTCTTTTTTCAACAAACGATTTTCCGAAAGTGCAACGCTTGTCCTTTTTTTACATTTGTCCTCCAGTGAACCTAGATCTGAAACCTAGTACAAATCATTGTCCTAGGACCACCCAGGAATTCTCATAGATTTACAGGCCAGGCCCATCAGTGGCTCCTTGGCCCAAGCATGAGCCGCTTTGAATCCCCAGAGTTCAAGCATGGCATTGACAGGTTGGTCATATTGAATCCCGTGGCCCAAGATGCCCAAGATGCCCAAGATGCCCAAGGTCAATGGGAGTTGGCCCTCTTCCTCTTCTCCGACAGGTCCGACGACCATACGGACCTCATCGGCGAAAGCAGCTTCGGCGCAGCCATCAGCGCTTGCGCCTTTGCGGCCAAGTGGAGCACGGCAGTGGCGTTGCTGCGGCAGTGTAGTGCCTTGGAGCGATGATTTTTGTGGGATGGTTGATAGATGTGTTGGGATCAAAAATTGCAGCGTATTGGATGACAATAATGAGTTTGAAAGAAATCCAATAGTTGGATAAAGATGGTCAAAGAAGATTATGGCCGGGATCTGAAACTCTGAAACCATCCATTTTGGCAGGCCAGAATTGACCCATACCCCCACGATCCATGGTTATTGGTCAAACATGCACTTTGACTGGACACATGACTAATGGAATTATAGCAACCACTGTGATTCCATTCTCTTCCTATGTCTTCCTCTACAGTACACAAGACCGAAAAGACAGATTGTGTTTGAAACGCTGAAACAGTTTCAGCAATGTTGTGAAAATTTGGACCGTAGGATTTGTCCCATCCCCAGTTTCCTTTGTT